TGTTATCCGGTCTGCTGCTCAAAAAAAACCCCAAAAAACAAAAGATCAAACATGCCAAAAAACAAACCACACAAGCCCTAATGCTTCTGATCATGGATGCAGACAGTCCTTCAATAAAGCCTTTCAGACTACTAACGTACCCCTGTATAAAAATGCTGTGGGTACAGGTTCTCTGACTGATGTTTCAAAAGTATTACCCTAAATTCCTTTAAACACTAGATATGGTTGTATCAATTTCTGCTTCTTTCAATGGGCACTGATAACAGTCTCTCTGCATTTTTAACAAGATGCATGTCTTCAAAATAGGGGACTTTAATTTGAATAAGTTACTTTGGAAATAAGAGGTAAAAATCATCACAAATTAATTAAAATGTCGTCCTTTGTTTGTGGTGATTAATAATACATAAAGAATCCAGGTTTTACATAATTCATCAATCTGACATAAACTGGCACTTTCCAGTTCCACAGAGTGGAAACCCAGCTACTCCGTGACACTTGAAAAACAGCTCTGAATTGATGCACTGCATCCTTCTGCCACAGGACTTAAAGTCATTGGGATCCAGCTTGTCACATACAAAATTAATTTTCTAGGACTGAGGCAGTAAGAATATAATAAAAAAATGTGCTGAGTTCCCAATACAATTTTTTCTTTCACTTTCAAGCACTAAAATCACAAAACCTAAAAGCAACACTAGCAATTAAAGATGGAGAAAGACTCAGGTAAGATAATGTAGCCTATGCTCTTATGACTAAAGGATTATTTCCTGAGGAACTTAACACTTCTGAGTATATTGTTCACAAGGCAATCTAGCACCAAGCATATGCACCATAAAGCTCGGTCTGTAGCAGCAGGCTGGCAACACTGGGATTGAATCACAGTGACAATAGATCCTGCTTCTTTCCAGATATGCAAGTTCATATCAGGAAGCAGTAAAAAATAGGTAGGGAAATACTTCCTTATCATTTTTTTTTTCCCCCCCATCATGGACAGACTTTGAGAGTCCCAAAGAAACAAGAAAAATTGTACTGAGCTCCCTCAGTTCCTAGTCCTGATCGAGCTGTGTATTTTTACCCTCTTTGAGCTTCTTTCCTTATCCTCTTAACCCTCTGCCTGACTGCATAGCCTCTGTAAATATTTTTTTCTCAAAATCTCCATAAGCACTCTGGCTTCTTCAGTTGTTCCCTCTCTGTGATTGGAATTTCTTTGTGATTTATCTCAAAGGATCATGGTTTTTTTCCTTTCTTCACACTGTGACAGAGCATGAAGAAATGAAGCAGCTTATCAAAATCCACCTCCTTTTCTTGATGGGTAATGATAACCCATCATTTGTACCTGTGACAGCATGGCAACACAGTCAAAAACACTGGCAGAGTTCTGATACCTGAGAGTGTCACCAGAACTGTCAGCATGCACTGGCCTGCCCAGTGGTATAAAGAGTTTACATCCCTGCTTAGCATGAAAATTCTGTGTCATGTATTTCTACCACAGAAACACATAAAAACACATAGAATTCTACCGTAGAAACACTTCTTTTAATGTTCAGTAAACCTTGAGGTATGCTGGCCAAACCTAAATCTCTGGCAAGATTTCAGCTGATTTTCAGTAGGTTTGAATCAAGTATTTAAAAGTAAGTACCAATTATCAAATGCATAAATCATGATCAAATTCTTTACATACAGTGAGGACAGAAATTGTATCATATTGATCTCATTTAATTAGCTATCTTAAAACTGCCAAATCTTTTCAATGAGAATTACTCCTTAGGAAGTACTTATTTCTGCATATAATTCAGCTATTATTTTCTTATAAAATACTTGTTACTGGGTGTAATTCACCTCATATTGGAACATAAATAATTTGATTGATATTTTAGGGATAAAGGACACATTTATTTTTCTTTTAGTTTTCAAGCCAGTCAGATTTTAAATAAAAATATGCCATAAAATAAAGTCTGTAAATTAAATATTTTAACATCTTGAATATTTAGTGTTCTTGCATTAGTATTTTGTTCAAGGCAGAGATGTATTTAGCATTATTTTTATTTAAGTATTACATAAAAAACAAGAGCAGATTGCATTTGGGTGTGATCTGTAGACCCATCTCTTAAAAAAGGAGGCTGTTTGCATGAGCATCTCTTCTTTATTAATGATACATGCTCCACATCCAGCTGTAGCTGGATCAGTTATTCATGCTCATATGAATTTTCCTTATGACTTTTTACAGTAATTGTTTGACCAGACTTTTATTTTCTTATAGAAGGCAAATGTTTAGCACTTTAAGTCCTCATTTTAAGCTTCCTGCACCTTAGAAGATGGCACATTTATAGGCACAACATCTCTGAATATTTTCATTTGTAAGGTTCCTCTTTTGTGCCCCTTCTCCTAGTCAATAGTTTTTTCCCTGGGATGATATTCATAACCAAATTACTGCTTGGCTGTGAATAAACAGTAAAATTAGGGTAACATTTAAAATAATTCTAAAAATTATGCAGTATTCTGCTTTTTGTGCAACCAATTGCAAAGACCTAACTGCATGTAACCAAAGTCTTTGAGCTGCTACAACAAAACACAGCATTATGACAAGATAGGCAAGAGATAAACTTTATTGTGGTAAATATGACTGCAAATCCCATGGAAAGATCCTGGCACTAGCCAGTGAGACACAGATCTATTGATGTATACTTATTTTTTTTCCCTTTGGTACATTTAAAAAAGATAAATACACTTCAAATCCCTGTAGTTCTTTTCATCTTATAACATAATTGCCTGTTTTACTCCCACAGAAGAAATAGAAAGATTTTATAAGATCTGAAGCATATTGAATAAGTTCCTTGTTTTCTAATGGCTTATTGGTTTGTGGAAATATTTAAAACACAGGGACTACTGCTATTAGTCAATAAATAAATAAATTTTTCAATATACATGCATGTCTTCAGTCCCTAGTTCTAGCACAGTCTTATGCCTGAAAATACACTGAAAACAAAATAATTTCTAAGTAGAGAAGAAAATACAATTAGATATTTTTTATTTTTTTTAAGATAGTAGTGCTTGCGGTTTTACATTCTAATACTTTGGTCTTCCACAGTGTCTTCAGCTTCACTATATTTACTTCTGAAGGCATCTTTTCAGTCTTTATTTAGATTATTGCAATAAATAATCAATATTTGCCTTAAGGATATCCTACAGCAGTTTTGGTAAGAATAAGCCTCCTGTCTCAAACAGTTGGAGGATGAAACAAGTGTCACTGCTCCTTAAATAGGCAACCATTACTCATTTTCCTAGTGAAAACACAAAATGCTTTATCAACCTCCATTCATAGTAGAGGATGCATTCATGCATGCATTTGAAGCATTTATTTATTTATTTATTTCTAAAATAATTAGAAGTTTTCAATTTATTGCTCCTATCACTTCTCTTCCAGAAAATCCTGAACTCATGTATTATACCCATTAGCCTGAAAGTCCTCAGAGAAACAAAAGACTTTCAGGGAAAAAGGATCATATACCAAATTGATACCTGCTAAAAATTTACCTTTTTAATTTTCATTGATTTAAATATATACTGATGATTACTCTTCTTTTCTGTAAGACAGTGAACTTGAAAAACCTCCCATGGTAAAGGTATAACATGATATATAGAAAGCTTAAGCAACTTTTCCTGACATTTACCAAAGTTGAACACTTTTTCCCCTTTTCTTTGATTTTAGTCCCAACAGACAGTGTCAGAATACAGAATATGAAGCTTATTGAGCTTCTCAGATTAGTGCCGCAGAAACTGCTTCTAATCCTCCATCATCATCAAATTGACTAGGCTGACATTGTCAGTGCTGAGCACTGCATGTACCAGCAAACACTGGAGGCTGAAAAAATATTTCATTCTAAACTAAAAAAAATTTATCTGGTGCATAAACCTTGCCTGTATCTTCTCAGAGAAGATACAGAGAAGAGGAAATTAGCTATAAATCTATAATTGATTGAAAAAGAGATGTTTGGAAAATGTTTTGATGCACTATCCATTTCTGAACCAGTATTTTATATGGCAAGGCTAGCGCATATATTTTATACTATTGTTCAGCAAAGACACATATTTTTTAAACAGGATGTATTTGCATATTCAAAGAACATGGGCCCAAGCCAGGACTCTGAATCCAAACAGATGGCAGGTAACAAAGGCTAGTTGAGACAAGGCTGTTGATAGCAAAATCCAAATGCTCTACTGGCAGGGTGATGCATTAAAAAAAATTCCAAGCTTATGCTGAGTTTGTATCACAAACTAAGAGATTCCTCCTATCAACCTCCACTTAAGCTGCCAAATCCTCCTCTGAGGAGATACCCATTGCAGTGCATTATTTTATCAACCCTAGTGTTAATTTGCAAAAGAAAAAAGTAGCAAAACCTAAATGAAAATACCACATACTGGAAAAGCCTTTTAAAGTATAGATTTCCCCATCTGCTCTACCAGACAATGCCCACCTACTTTTCCCATGTTGGCTGAATGCAGCCATCTTTTAAGAAGTTCCTAGAAAACCTAAGCATTGCTGATCAACAACTTCCTGGATTTAAACATTCTTCAACAAGATGACTTGCAAAGTAGAAACATTAATGGTAATAAATACAGAGAAGATTATTTGGTCAGTCCCCCTCTGAAAAATCGTATCTAAGCAGTAACATACTGATGGATTACATCTGTCCTCTAGACATACAGGCAACAAATAGACATTGTCGGCTGTACTGTTGATTTCTGAATCAGAAAGAAGAGTCCACTACAGAGTAAGACTAGTTACAGATTAATTTTCAGAGACATCTCCCACATTTCAGAGTTTTGGGGACATGTTCAGCACTAGATCAGAGGCAAGTTACAATCTAAACCTTCATCACTCTCTTAATCTCCCACTGCTTGGATGTCTTTCTGTAGATTTTGGAAAAGGTGGCAAGGAGCTTCACAGCACGATTTAGAAAAAGATGTAGACAGCAAGATTCATGAGACAGTGACTCCGTTACCTCTGAGCTCTCCTTCAGATTAGCACAGTGGCTAGTGATGGCTGATGATGATCCATGAAGTAATCTGAAATGAGCTATTGGGTTGATTCTCCAAAGTTGCTTGAAGAAATGTCATCACAAATGCCACCCAAGCTTCAACGCTCCAGAAAGCTGAAGCTGAAAAGAAGAGAGGATTAGTAATTCTGAGTGAAGAATCACATTTCATGTATCTTTGCAATTCTAAAGTCCTTTTAGGGCAGGAAATTATGAGGGGAGCTGGGGGGGTGGGGAGGGGGCTCAGTTTGGGGTTTTGGAGACCAAAAAATTCTTAGTGAACAAATGGCCTGATGAGTACCAAGTACACTGCATGAGTACAAGTACTCATGCTCTGAGTAAGGCAAATGTGCTTTCTAAAAAGAGGAATCTAGGAATAAAGGAGATGGAGATTGTAACTTCCCAGGAGTCACTAGGTAATTTTCAGTAAGTGGAAATCACTGCTGTAATATTCACTCACAAACAGCAAAACAAAATGAGAAGCAAACAAATTAACAAAAGTCAGAACTGTCCAGCAAATACTATATTTTGCAAAACCTGTGTGAATACTGTTCTCCAAAAGGAGTCCCCCTCATAAAAAGTGTTGATAGCAGAAAAAATTACAAATAAAGCAAAGAACAATTATGTTCTAAATTAATCCCTAGTGTCAGCTAAAAGAGGTAAAAAATTTCACTGATTCTTTTACCAAATCTGTTTCATGCTGAAAAGCATTTCATATTTCATAGTTTGCAGAATATGCACATAGTTTGCTTTGGCATCATCTCTTACTGAGGTGTATGGAGGTTTTCCAGTAATAAAATCTGTATTGCACAAAAGTGGCATAGGCAACTAAAATCAGTAAAGATAAAAAATGGATCATATTAATTGGAAAATTCACATATATACACAGAATCATATTCCATAGGAGAGCAGGAAATCTGAAGATAATGCATATAAAGAAAACATTAAACATTCATATTACCATGCCTGAGACTAAGCAGATATGAAAATAAGTATTTTTACTTTTCCTCTGCTAAAATAACATTATAAACTGTGCAAAAAAGATCTCAAGGACTCTAAAAGAGTCACATATGCAAGGTACTAGACAAATTAAAAACATTAGTTGCAATATCATCTGTGACAGTAGCAGGTCTTGACTTTATACCACAGCAAAAAGTATATCTTGACAGATAAAACTGTCAGGGGTAAAATATGAATTTTTTTAATTTTTTTGTTTAATTAGAATTAGTATCTTGAGGTGAGATTCCACTTCTCATCCATACTAAAAGGATGTTTAAAATTTACATTTTAAAGATAAAACTCCATTCACTAGTACCATCAGTTAGCAGTTAAGATGTCAGTGTAGAGAGGAGTTCAAGGATCAGCAAATTCAAAGCCTGAGCTTCCATGGCTTGATGTTCTAGACATGTTCAGTGCATTTTTCAAATAGCTTCCATTTACTGTATCTCATGTGTTTAAACAATAGGGCAATCTGAAGTAAAGTGAGATATATCCCCAGAGTTTTCTGGTGGGGACAAAGAAGAAATGAGAACTGTTTTCTTTTGAAGTGAAAGCCGAAATGTGTTTCCTGAGCTTTTCTATTTCTCTTTAGATATTTCTCTTCTCTGTGAGGAGACTGCATGCACACAAAAAATGCACTTCTTCACACTGTGGCAAACAAGCTAATTTGACATTGGTTATTCTTATAAACATACCAAGGTATATCACCAAGTAGCATTAGAATATAGTATTTAATATGGGGGAAGTAGTGTGTCCCCTAAGAAAGGAGACATTCATTGACTTCAAATAATATTTACATCTGACCTCCTGCACAGCAGAAATCATCAATGTCATCCAGCAACTCCCACACCAACACTATAATTTCTGTTCCATTTGCAACCTTTGCTTTTTGAATACTTTTTCATCTTGATTTAGAGATCTCTTAAACAATGACAGAATGCATTGTAATAGGGACTTAATCAGGACTGAATAGTCAGCAGTTACTCACTCCTGGCTCATGAAGAGCCAAAATAATATGTCCATGATCTCAAGCAGTACAAATTAACACAGTCAAAAGAGGAAAAACTACCCAGTACAGGGACATCTGTTCTGTGCTCTAACTTTAAAGAGCACCCCACAGAAAAGCCATGAAATCCAATACACAAGGTCTTTTTTTGTCAAGAAATAGTAAACTAGCTTTTCTAATTATGGTGTTTCAAATTTCTGTCTCTCCTTTGAACAAAGGCAGCAGAAAGCCCACCACAGTTAACAGCAGCTTAAACTTCTTGGTCTTCCATTGTGCCTTGGATATTATAAAACTATTTATATAAAAATAAATTGTCATTTCAGCGTAGATATTTAAAACAATATGGGTGCTATGCCATCCTTCTTCCTGACTCACAGCAATGGGAGAACTAATACACTTTATTTAATATAAAGTGCCCATACTTTAAGCAAGCTTCAAGATACATTCCATTGAAGATCAGTATGCTGTGAGTGAAAAGACAATTTTAAGATGGGAGAGAAAATATCTTTATCAACTAGTCCTCTCCATAACCAGCCATATATAGATGGCTGCTCCAGCATATATGTCTATGCTTTGGACGTGAGCTGTTAAAAAAGAGGGTGGTAGAATAACTACTTGAATGTGTCTTTCATCTTCTATAAGGCTAATTGGAAACAGCTATAAAACTATAAACTTGCTTCTATAAGGCAAGATAAAATAACTTTAGGAAGAATTGCTCTGTAAAAATACACAGTATTACTGAAGTGTCACATGATTTACAGCCCAATATAGCTGAAGTGTCATTTCCATTGCAAGATGCTGCTTTCCAATGCTGGTAGTTTTCATAGAAGGAGGTAGAAAATATGGCTGAAAATTCATTACAGGTTTACAATTTGCATGCATGTTTTTAAGATTTCTCTATATTTCCTGGTCTAAAAACATCTAATACAGATTAGTCTTCAGTTTAAAATTCGATAAATGTGGTTCAAAAGGCTATAAACACACTAAGTCATCGCAATCCAGGAATGTGGGACTCCTGTTCAAATGATAACAGGTGGAAATAATATCTACTTCCTTTTATCCAATTATACATTATTATTTCCCTAAGTGCACTTCCTGAGAAGACAGAAGAATTTTTCCTTCTGAAAAACAGACAAAATCCATGTTGTCATGTTTTCACAAGTTTTCCCGAAAATGCTTTCAAACTGGGACCATAGGCAAGGCTTTTACAACAAAGTGAGGAAAAATTTACCTAGGTCTGACTTCAATTTCACGATTCCTCAGCTGTCTAAATCCTACTGATCTGAAGAACTGTCCATATGACAGAGGCACAAGCAGAGTTGTTTCCTCCATGCTTTTAGAAAGATGCAGTGGCTGTACTGGGTTTACATGGCAAAATATAGGGTGATACAGGTGTACCTTCTGTGACAAGATGCCAATATCCTCACACACGTAAGACAGAGACAGTTCCCTGCTGAAGCAGAGGAAGAGCACAAGAAGGAAGGAGTGAAAGAGATAACCTGGAATGAGCTGACCAAAGCACCCATTCTCTATTCCCTTGCACCACTTTGCGAGGACATAGAGAAATTGGCAGGGAAGCTGAGCTCATGAAAAAGGGAGAGTTCAGGGAAAGCCTTTGAAGACTCATTTTTATTTCTCAAAAATCCTACTCTATCTTTCATCCTACTCTAACTTTTGATTGGCAATTAATTAAATTAATTTCCCCAAGCTGAGTCTGTTTTGCCTATGACAGTCATTGTTTAGTGGTCCTGCCTGCCTCTTGTTTTGACACATGAGCCTTTTGTTATATTTTCTCTCCCTTGTCCAGCTGCAGAGCAGAAGTGATAGAGAGGTTTTGATGGCCTTAGGCATCCAGCAGAACTAGCCCCGCCTCCACATTGTGCAGCACTTATAAAGAGTAAGAACAGGTAGGCTATAACAAGCATTTTCCAGTGTATGATGTCAGAGCTGGACACAAAACAGCCAGCATGAGACAGTAAATGAAAAGCATCTGTACCTTGTGCTGCGTCTCCCCATCACTGTGAAGCTCTACACCTACCATCACTGCTAAAGGTAAGGTTAATCTGGGAACCTGTGAGTTTAGCATGTAAGAGTCAGACTGTGAAGTCAGAATGTTGCTTTTCACATGCAATTTGAAAATTAGTTTGTATAAACTAAAAGCGTACAGTAGAGAACTAGCTCTGAGTAATTATCATGCTATAAATATCTGGTTTTCAGAATTTATTTCACTCCTATAAAGGGGATTTAAATATGAACATATTTCCCAGCCAAACAACAGCAAGCCTCAATATACCTTTCACAACATCCTACAGCTGTGGGTGACAGAATAGCAGTGTAAACATTTCACATGTCTGAATTATGTACATGTAGTAAAAGCGAAGCTGATTTATTAAGGCGATTTAAGAGAAGTTAAGCACAACTCTCTACATTCATATCTGTGTCAGAAGTTTTCTACATACATAGGGTGAAACAACTTGAATCTTCACGTCTCTTCCTTTACAGCTTGTCCAATCTATTTTAATTAATGCTCTAAGTGACCTGAGCCCTGAAGAAAAGGTTTGAAACAGAAATTCAGAGCAGGAAAGAGAATGCAAGAGACATGCTGTATTTATAACAGTACATTCATGAATACCACCAAGTAGGTCACCCACCTTTTTGCATGGCAATCTAAAAATACACATGTACTCACAAGCCTGAGCAAATAAGGACACAGCTAATATTACTGCTTCTTCCTTTATTCCAGCATTTGTCAGCACAGCAGTCCACAAACTCTGAGCATGACAAAAGCAGTACCAAATTTTTCAGATATCTCTAGCAACAAAACAGAGATTTATGTGGTTAAACCCACAGAAGAAAAAGAAATTAAATCATCCCAGATGACTAAATCACAGTTTCTAGTGGGTAGCTTAGTAACTGAACTCTTTATCCCCTGAAGGACTACTCAAACCATTTGTTTTCATTTTCTTGACATCCTGTCAGTGTAACATAACTGGATGTGCTGCTCTGCTTGTTATTTTCTGGGATGAAAATTACTGTCTTTGCTGAGGAATCTTAAGCGATAATGAATAATAAGTTAGAGGAATATACCCTGCCGTGTGATCTCCCAGGAAATAACATTCGCTCTTAAGCCCACCTGCAAACCACAGAAAGCAGCCAAGGTCCCAGGAGCTAGGCCACTGAGATGTTGGTGGAACTATGACATATTCTCTTTATAGTACCTGAAAAAAAGATTTTTTTAAATTTTAGCATTTTTTTGAGGCTGATCCTTTACGAATTGGTGGATTTCTTTGTGCACAAAGTAGCCGCTCAACTGCTCAATACCTTGCTATTTCTATGCTTTCATTGTCCCTGTATTGCTAAGGAGGTGGCAGTCATTGTGATGATACTAAAGAGCTCAGGCAAAAGCAAGAATATCTGGGGTATTGGCAGTGCAGTGCATTAAAACATTAAGACACCTAGACTTCAATTTAGGCCCAGTGAGCTAGAACTTCTGACTTAGGAAACAAGTGAATACAGGTTAAATGGTCTCAGTCTAGCCTGTAGTGGACATTAATCCACATCACAAAACCATCATACAACTTGTCAAAGTAGTTTTATTTTCTTCAAAACGTAATCTCAGACTAGTGAGTTCTGAGCACAGATAGTAATTGTTTTTCTTTTCATAGAGTTTGCATGATGTTTGATGTCAACATCTTTTGTTTCAGGCATTGTTACTAGATACTAATTTTCATTCACATACTTGCCTGTAAAAGTGGTAAGAGAGTTCTAAAGGGGATTAACATGAAACATATGTACATTAACAGCAAACCAGAATGCATGTAAAAAGGGCAGAGGTGCAGTCTATTGCACCTTAAGATTAGAGCTACAGTCTCCCAGAGATGTAATTTAGATCTCAGAATCCTGCTAGGAAAAGATTTCTACTCTGGTTCCTCCTTACTCCCATGGGATAAAAGTTACTTCTAACCTAACTGCACAGCTCCCCACTTACACCTTCAGTGGTAGCTGTACTGCAGAGATCAATAGAAAAGCAGCTGCATAGAGTGCATTTACTCATCCATTTCCTAGCCCCTATTCTGGTAAGGCAACAACTGAGTGAAGATCCCAGCTTCCTCCAAAGTGACAAGACCAAATAACTTCTCAAAAGATGAAAGGTAGCTGTCACAGCACATTATGTCCATGAAATGACAGAATAGCCCAAACAAGGCTCTAGAATTTAACCATTTCCTTTTATGTAGTTCTTACTCATGAGAGAAGGAATGGGAAAAATTAGCACCTATATTATTCTATACATTTCTAAAAGCACCCCTTTTATAAAAAAAGTACTAATGGGGGGAAATATAGCAAAACAAAGCCAAATATAATCTTGATGGGTACTTTTTCCATTACTACTCAACAATTTTACCCCTAAATCCAAACTACTTTCGTTTTCCAGAAATTAAATAAAAATTCCTTCAACCAAGAATGGATACGTATATAATCAGACACATGAGCAGAATTCTATTCCTTTACTAGTTTATAATTTATTGTTGTATCACAAATTTGAGTTTAGAAAGGCATTTCACTAGAAAAGTGTGTATATTTAGGTACAGCTATTTTTTAAAGGAATGACACTGTTTCTCTAAACACTAAATAACTATTTTGCATAGCTCTCTTAAAAAACATTTTTAACACTTTTTTAAGATTTTTGTGCAAAAAAGCTCTCCATCAATTTATTCCATTTCATTAGCATGATACAATATAATTCCAGCCAATAGAATTCTCAGGAATGCCTACTGGAACATCACAAGAAGATTAAAATAAACTGAGATAGCAGTTATGTTAATGCACATCCATCAAGATCAACAGAGCAGATTCATCAACGCATCACTAGTCCTGCCATTTCTGCATGACTTTAGATATGACTGGATTCCTGGCTTTTCTTCCAGGAATTCACATCTATGATGTACTAAACCATGTTTTATGATACAGAATATCCAAGACATTATTTCTTCTGTCTTCATCCCAGCCAAAGCTCTTCTGTATGTCCTCCCTATTTCATATGTTGACTTTTGTGAATCATCCTAAGAAATGCTGTGTTGACAGTCTCACAAAAAGTTAAACATCACCTTTTTAATGTCTCATTGTAACTCTGTACTTGCCTGATGCCATCTTTTTTTTTTTCCCCTTTTCTCAGAATACCAGTCAGCAAACTCCTGCCTTCAAATACTATTAGCTATTCTTATCCTAGTAGTTTTGTGAGACACATGGACCAACTCTTGGCTCCAGTGTCTAATGTGAGGCTGCTATCACCCTGACAAGCCATTTACAGATCCTTCTCATAATAATGATGCTCTTCAGTGTAGGAAATATACTGAATCTCTCCATCTTTAAAATCCACTGCTTCCATTTTAACCATAATATCTTCTACCACAATGAAAAAGGTGTTTGCTTTATCAAATGCTTTTTTACTCTCTTCATGTGTACTTCATCAATGTCTATTTTACCCACATAATGTCATTTGCCTAATCTGAGGAACAACCTTCCTCTTACATATGTGCTTCAAATATTTCCACCTATCCAGGACCCCCTCCTAGCCCTCTTTGGTCAAAGATACTCAATCTGAAAACTCATTATGCAATGGCTCTAAGAATACTCCATCTACTTGTCCTCTAGTACATCAACACAGTTCAGGAGTTGCAGAGTATCATTACAACCTCAAAACAAAGAATCTGCCAAAGCTTTCCAACAAGACAGTTATAATTAGATTGCTCTTGATATCAGGAATTTACAAAATATTGCCACATGCCGAGGCAATTAGAAGCCCAATTGTGTGAAGTCCCAGTAACCTGAAACTAAGCCAGTCTTCAATAAATGACATGTCAGAGACACAGCAGTGGCCCCTGAGGCTGGAAGAGGTTTGGAAAGACTAGGAATGGATGGTACTTGGAGTCTGAGGACCTGCCACACATGTAATGACATACAGCTGTGTAACAACCTAAAGAAGCTCCAGTTAAGAGACAGAACAGGCAGAGCTGCCTTAAAAGAGTATAGATTACATCACAAAGAGTCAATGATGCAGTTGCCACACCTCAGAAAAAAAATAAGCAGAGCTAATTACCCTAGCACCCTGTGATGGATGGCTGCTTTCCTAACTATTGCCTTTTCAATGTTGAAGTGAAATTATATTTTAGTAGTTGCTTTCACATTAGCTGATTCTACCTAGTAAGTCTGGCTTCCTACCTTTTTGGACTAGCTGTTAAATTTTAATACCATCCACATGGACACCTGAGCTGAAGGAAGCATTGTGTCTGCAGATATGCTACATGTGTAGCACTGCAAACACCTGCAGCCTTTAGAACCCTTGGAACTTAACCAATTTACATAGTCATTGTCTGATGGGAGAATGTTTGCAGTTTTTGTACTAGATACCATGAAGTCTTGTGGAAAAGCCCCTAATACCCCACCATTCCAGAGAAAGATGGGGAATATACAGTCAGCTCTTAGAAAGGCACTTGGGTGTCAGGCTTGAAACCATGGAGATGATAACTGTTGCAGACAAAAGAAAGTAGAGGCAGTCCTGAAAAAAAAAAAAAGGAAGTGTAACTACATTGTGAGAAGCCAATTTAATCTTGATTTCTGTCTCAATACTGCTTGTGAGAGGCTTGTGGGGGAGGGGGTGTACATGTGCCACTTGCAGGAGGCAGCTAGGAGAACACGGGTGAATGCCTTGTCTCCAGGGAGACTTCGCCTGGCAATCACTTCGTATCTCACATGGGAAAGGCAGTCAGAAGGAGACCACCAAGGACCCTGTACTCCCCAGAGAGGTTCTCAAGTCAGATGGCAAAAAGTCTCCACCAATGGACTGCAATGTCAGACTGGGCCAATGCTCTCCTGTCAGTAGGCAGACTTTGGGAAGAGCCAGTAAAAAGTAATAAAAGTAACTGCACCACAAGCTTTGGGGGATTTTTGACTTGTGATTTTTGAGACTTGCCTTTTGTGGGTTTTTGGCTTTAGCTTTTTGAGTTTTGTCCTCTGGGGGATTTTTTGACGAGGAGATTTTTAAGTCTGAGGGCCTCTTGAGTCTTGTGCTTTTGCTTTGGCTCCTGCCTGCTAAGGTCTGCTTCTTGCCCTGGCTCTAGCCTGTTTCTTGTCCTTTTTGCCTTGGCTCTGTCCTGTTTTTTGGCTCTTTTCCCCTAGCTGGCCAGTGCTTCCCTCGCTCACTCCTCACTCGCCCTCTCACCAGCTGACCTCTGAGCTTCATATGTAGCCTGTGTCCTGCCCGATCCCCTTGCCCGTCCCCGTCGCAACCTGTCCTGCCTCCCTGTGTCCCTGACCACCGCCCTGTCATTTCGTCCCTGTGCTGCTGACTAAGCTGCCTGTGTCCAACCCTGCCTTACCTCCTACCCAGCCCACCGCCGCAAGCCCCGCAGCGACCCTGTCCAGGCTGCCGCAGGTCCTGCAGGATCCCCGCTCAGCCGTGCCCGGCCCCCGTGGCGGCGGGAGCTGGGCCTGTGGAGCAGGCCTGTGGAACACGCCCGTGGAACACGCCCGTGGAGCAGGCCTGTGGAGCACGCCCGTGGAACACTCCCGTGGAGCACGCCCGTGGAACACTCCCGTGGAGCAGGCCTGTGGAGCACGCCCGTGGAACACG